ATTGGTATTGTTACTTTAATGTAAATATATAATTTATATGCCTTTTTGATTTGAAAGAAAGAGTAGATGCTCCACATGGGTTGTTAATAAATCTTATTTTTGGTCTGTATATTGGTTGTTGGCTGGAAGGACCTACACTCCTGAGGTATACTGATATTTGTAAAAAAAATTTTGTTGTAGAATTTTCAGAAAATGCTAGTTACAAGGGAGGTTCTACCGAAATTTCTACAAAAACATTGACACTTTCTTATGATAATGAATTTAAAGAAGTTATTTTAATTCTCATATGATTTGATTGAATTTTGTTCTTTTCTTGAAAAATGGAATAAATATTCATTTGGAGGCTCACGGGAATGTGAGAATGGTTCACACTCGTGCTGGTCACCCTCTATTTTTGGGGTGTGACACAAACTCACTAAAAATTCACACAAAGAAAAGGGAGGACAAATTAGAAAGCTTACTTAAGTGTTAAACTAATGTAGATTGCCTCTAAAGTGGCCAAATGATAAAGCCCTAGCAGCCTAGTGCTCCCTCTTCAATGCCTCTTAGGTTTTCTTTCTTCTCTCTTATTGAAATTAGATGTAGCCCACGTCTGATTTATTTCAGAAATTGGCTATGCAAGGGGAGTCTACCACGACACATGGCACAGCAAGCTAGTGTGCCAATTTTGGCCACTCACTCAACTTCGATTGACTCAAACTCCATCATAGTTCACTTCTAAAATTGTCCAATGATCCAGTAATCTCATTAGCATTCTGAAAACACCATTAACTTGAAAATTCTTAATTTTATCATTTTACCCTTTATTTAGACTTAAATTCTAAGTTTAAATTTTGAGGATGTTATACTCCAAAAAATCTAAGGTGCAAGAGATGTATAGCTTGATAGGAGAGACATGGTGTAGGAAGAGGCCATTAGATCTAAGGACATACCATAAGAATTATCTAATATTATGTTTGGATAATTAAAAATGTATGAATTTGGATTTGACCCAAATCCAAATCCAAATTCTCCCTTAATTTTTTTGTAATTTGAAATCATTTTTAAACCTCTATTACTTCAAATCCTAACTCAAGCTCTTTTGTAATTTAACCCAAATGTATGAAGGCTTAAATGACTTGCCAATAGTAATAGGATGGAATTGCCAAAGTTTACAAAAACAAGCAACTACCATTGATCGGGATAGGACAGCCAACTTCTACTGAGATCGAACTAACAGCGACAATAGGGACCAGACGACTGACTTCCATCAGTATTGGACCAATGATGATGATCGAGACAAGATCGACTATGATGATTAGGACTGGATGGCTGACTTCTACCTAAACAAACTGATGATGATGAAGGGAAGTAGATGGCAACTTCTATTGAGAACAAATCGACTACGATAACGATAACTGAAAATGCAACTTCCATCAGGCAAGGACCGGATGGCTGCCTCCCATTGCCATTGCCTTTAGTCTAGTCGCCTCCTTCCATCACCATCAGTGTGGTTCGATGTTGGTGAAAGTTGGTTATTCGGTCCCTATCATAGCTGTCGGTCCTATCTAAGTAGAAGTCTATTGTCTGATCCCTATCGTCCCCCTCAGTCTAATCCTGTAAGAGTCGGCCATTCGATCCTCGTTGTCCCTGTTAGTTCAGTCCTAATGAAAGTCAGTCATTTAGTCCAAGTTGTCCTTGTCTGTTCAGTTACGGTCATCACCGTCGATTAGGTCCTGGTGAAAGTTAGCCTTTCGATGCCTGTTGTCCCCTTCGATCCAGTCCATGTCATCCTTGTTAGTCTAATCCTAGTGAAAGTTGGCTGTTCGATCCCTATCATTGCCATTGATCCAGTCTTGATAGAAGTCAGCCTTCTGGTCCCGTCATCATCGGTCCTTGTAGAAGTCGGTTGTCTGATCCAGTTGGAAGTTGGCCGTCCAATCTAGGTTGTCGCCGTCAGTCTGGTCCCTATGAAAGTTGGTTGTCGAGTCCTCATCTTCATTGTCAGTTTGGTCCCAATAGAAGTCAGCCTTCCGGTCTCGTTATTTGATCCCTATAAAAGTCGATCATCCAATCCCCATTGTTATTGTCAATATGGTCCTGGTAGAAGTCAGCAGTTGGGTCCTCATTATTGCTATCGGTCTAGTCCTAATGGAAGTTTGTCTTTTGATTCCAATCATTGCCGGTTACTGTGAAAGTCGACCATCCTGTCCCAGTAGAAGTCGGCCATTCGGTGTAAGTCATCGCCATTGGTCCAGTCCTAGTAGATGTTAGCTGTCTAGTCTTCATCGTTGCAACGGTCTAGTCTTGGTAGAAGTCGAAGGTCCCATCTCGGTCATCATCGGTGCCATAGTCCTAGTAAGCTTTGTTTGTCCGATCCCATTGGAAGTTGGGTATTTGAATCATTGAGTTTGACTAATCTTTCAATTTTCTTTTAAATTCAAATATAGACTTTAAAATTTAAAATTTTACTTTAGATCCAAACAAAGAATTTTAATATTGTAATTTGAAATTTTTTATATCATCCAAACAAATAATTTAGAATGTAAGAATTTTAAATGTGAGATTTTAAATATGAGATTTTAAATTTAAATTTTCAACTTAAATTCACCCATCCAAACACAAACTAAGAGAAACATGGAGTAACATTCTAAGTTGCCTGACCTCGAAGGGTCTTAGTTCTCATGAGAAGGTGTAAAAGCCAATGCTCAAAGACAGGTTCAAGAGCTTCAACCTAATATTCGACGATATATACAGGATATAGAGCATGAATGACAAATAATTTTAGTTGGAGCTGAGGGTGTTGATAACAATGTGGTAATTCTGACATACAGAGCATTCTCGGGAGGTATTTTTAGTATTTGGACCCAAGAAGATAGATAGAGAAGTACATAAAATATCAGCTGATGATATAAAAACCTTAATATCTCACTATGTTAACAGTATGTTTGTGTTTTGATGGGGCCAACATTGCTTTACTTTAATTAGTTCAAGGGGAACATTGCTACACTAAATAGTTTAGGAGTAACATTGCTCCTTTATATATAGTTTAAGAATAAAATTTCACTTTAACCCTAAAAATCAAAAGCTAATTTAGAAAGCACATAAATAAAAAATGTTAACATTGGGTCATAAAATATTGATAACAATACATTTTATGTTATAATTGTACATAATAAAAAGTAAAAAACTTTAACAACATATTTGATTCTAGAGTTTATTAAACGTGAATCTAAAAGAAATAAGTAACATGTTCTTGTTTAGAGTTTATTATCATGTGTATATTAAAAATATGAAAAATAAACCAATAAGAGTTAGTAGTCTAATGGAAGGAGGTCAACGTAGTGAACCAAAATTCAATTTTCACCTTAGAGAAATGCATGCGTTTGGTGTTTTCTACCAAGAACAATTTTGTAAACTCATATATTTTTAATTTCAAATAAGAACCATGGTTCATTATTAAAATTTTAATAATTTAGAGTCTTTAATTATAATTAATGATCTTATGGGCTCTTTAGTTGTCATTTGTCTTAGATCAATTCTATATGATTAAAACATCCCATACATGTAATTATTTAATTTGATGTCATATCAACAATAATTAAAGGGGAGAATATCAGTAAATGATCCTAGAATCAATTTAATTTCATAAAAGACTGCTAACAAGTAAACATTAATAATTTACAAGTGAAATTTTTATTTTAACAAGTATTCAATCATCTAGATTCTTATAAGATATTAAATATTTTCAGAAGTTTTTCATTGATACTCTCCCTAGTAAAACAAAATCTAATAACCAGCAATACAATGTTTGCAATTATATCAGCAATCAAATAATTTCGGGAATTGTTTAGCAATTGCATCAAATTAACCTCTTTTATCCTAGGTCTGACTTTGAGTCAACGGCCAGGAAGCCTGTATGCCCAAAAAATATATATATATATATATATATGGGGAAAATATTATCTAAAGACGTTTACAGAGATTTTATATAAAAAAGAACCTTAAAAATCTTAAATTTTACTGCACCTCCAAATATCTATCTAAAAATAAGATTTTGTGATGAAAAAAACTTAATTATTTCTAACATTTTATGGATGCATAAACAAACATTCGTTTAAAGTTTTGATAATTAATCATATGTAATTAATAATAATTAATTTGAAAATGAATAAATTATAAACATTGATAGTACACGGTTAATTATATAAATATTAGTCTTGCATAAATAACTATTCATTCATTTTTTGAAAAGTAATCTTATATAATTAACCGTAGCTCATTTGAAATTAATAAATGACTATAATCAATAGTATATATTTAATTTATATGTGTTGGTTTTATATAAACAAACATCACTTAAAAATGAATATGGAGGAAAAAAAAAAAAATTTAAAGTAATTAAGTAAGACAGAAAGACAGTGCAACTCCAGCCTGTCTTCCATTAAAGGAGCCAATATGGCTAGAGGTAACTATATTCTTTAAAGTCATGGTTTTCCCCCCCGTTTTTCTTTTCTTTTATTTTGTTTTTGTTTTTAGAAAAGGCATGGTCTGATCTACGCCATTAGTTGCCGGTTGGCAATGAAACGTCTACTTCTTACTTTTTATTTCTTTGTTTATTTTTGACCGAAAAACTTTCATGCCATACAAATCGGTAAATCCAAAGGGGAGAAAAAGGAACTGGCCCGAACACCAAAAAAAAAAAAAAAGGAACTGGCCCAGCTGGAAACAATTAATTCTTTTAATTTTTTTGGATTTATAATTTTTAAAAATAATGAATTAAGAAAAATTTATAATGATGAAAAAATTAATAAAAATTAAAAATATCAAGCATAATTTTATTTTTCTTCACATTTTAATTTTAATAATTTTAAAAATAATTATTATGCTTCTCAATTTTACAAATTTATTAAGTATAACTTTTATCTCTATTTATATCCCAGATTTATAGCCACGGAAAGAAAACATAAAATCTTATTTGTGTATATCCTGCAATCTCCCAGTACGAACACACACACGCACACCAAAAACACTAAAGAAACAGATCATACGGTCGGTGTCTTCTTCAGTTTAAAACAGCAAAGAGTTTTGTGCTTGGAACTCAGATTAGATTACTCTCAACACAAAGGATATTTTCTGAGTAGAAACCAGAAGCAATTCTAGGTTCGATAATCATGCACACTTCTTTATTCGGTTTTAAAAAAATAAAAAATTGTTCGAGTGTATGTTCGCTAATCGATATCAGTTTCTTGATTAATTTCTTCCATCCTTAGAATGATGATACTCCATCTCTATCCTCTCTCTAGTTTCATTTTAATTTCTTTCAGTTCGTCCACACAAAAATTTCTGAACAAAAGTAGTACCTCATATTTTCTTCTATGATTCATCTTCCTTTAGACATTTCTGGAACTTGAAGCTTAATTATAAAATATCTTGGTAAACTCGCAGGAGGGTATTGTGGTAAATGTATTAAAATGCTTTAAATTTGTGGTTGAGACACGAGATTCACTACTCAAATAACTCTATCGCTGAAGAATATATTCTCTTCTTCTTCTTCTTCTTCTGTCTTTCTCTGTCTTAGCGACAAGGTGCTATATATGTGAGTTTCTTCTCAATTTGAACCGTCGTCATTTCCCTCACAGGTGGGGATATCAATGGCGTCTTGTGAATCATCAAGCCCCAATATTTATCAGATGTTGAGTCACATTATCGACATCAATAAGGAACCAGAAGTTCTGAACACATCCAAGTGTAACATCTACAGAGTCCCATGTAGTCTTCGGAACGTGAACGTGGAAGCCTACACTCCTCAGTTGATTTCCATAGGACCTCTTCACTATGGCCATGAAAATCTGAATCCAATGCAACACCAGAAACTACGATACTTTGGTTACTTCTGGGATCGCTTCAAAAATGAGGAAGCCATGAAAGTCTACAAAGAGTACCTTGAAGCTGAAGAACAAGCTATACGCCATTGTTATGCAGACAGGTTTCAGTTAATCAGTAAGGATGAGTTCGTGGAAATCATTCTTTTGGATTCTGTTTTCATCATGGAGCTTTTTCTGATAATGAACAATCCAGAACTACGACGACATCACAAAGATGATATTCTATTGAAACAAACATGGCTGAACAAGAGTGTTCAGAGGGACTTGTTGCTGCTTGAAAATCAGATTCCATTGTTCATCTTGGATAAGCTGTATACAACTGTGGTTCCAGACTCTGAAAGGCGTGGCAAGTTTATTGAACTTGCCTATGATTACTTCAGGTGTTTTCATCCTTATCAAAAAAGCAAATCGTATCACGATGAAGCTGAGAAATCAAGTGGGGATTACAAACTTCCAAAGCCAAAACGGGGCAAAGATTCTTCAGTTCCGTCGTCTCAGAAGGAGTCTTCGTACAGGTTTGCCTTAGAAGAGAAAAAGTGGAAAATTACTGAACCAATGCACTTTACTGATATGATTAGGTACATACTTTTACCCCTATCTATTATTTATATAAAGTGGAAAGAGATACAAAATAAACGAGAATCCAATCTATGCATAAAATAATATAACTTTTAATTACCTTTTTAAACGTTCTATAAGTTGTCGATTTTCTATTTAAATTTTAACTACAATTCAGCTCTTATAATTTATTGAGTTAATATAATGAATTTTATAAACTGAGTTGTAAGAAGTTCAAAATCTACAACAATTAAATTGTTTTGAGTTAAAAAACTATAAAGATTAAGTTGTTTTATGTCAAATTTTAAGGACTAAATTAATAATTCAAAACAAGTTCAGGTACCAAAAGTTACTTCCTCTAATCCTAATTATAGAGCAAAGCTGACGAACTTTAGAATGACAGTTAATATTCTTAAATTTTAAGAAAAAATTATGACTTTTCAAGTTTGTCCTTTGCTGAAATTAATGACCACACAATAAAATATATCTAAGAATTAAAAGCTTGCTAACCATTTGGTGCAATTGACGAAGGATAATATTGAAAAAAAAATAAACGACTACATCAATCTTCACCTTATATTTAGGATAAAATGTGACTTTAAAACTTTGTCTTATAATTAAGACCAGGAGGAGTATATTTTTCAATAGAATAATAATGAAACACAAGATTAAGTAGTATTGAGTTAAAAAAAAAAAGAAGAAAACTATGAGAATTGAGTTGTTATAAGTCAATAAATTATAGAGAGAATTATTTTGAGATAAAGTTTAAATATTAAATTGATAATTAAGAACGAATTTAGGAACCAAAAATTATATTTTTCCTGGCATAATAATGAAACACAAATGGCTAACAAATTTTTGTGAGGATTTGATTTGACTAGGTACTTCTACCTCTATGAGAATCTGACTCTCCGCCAAAAAGGATCATCTTGTTGTGTTCTTAGGACTGCAACAAAGTTGCGGGAAGCAGGAGTGAGCTTCGAGAAAACGTTTGACAAAAACTTGCTTGACATAAAGTTCAAGAAAAATCCAATCTTGAGCAAGTTTCTGTGCTTGGGTTGTATATCAAAATTCATATGCTTCAAAGCCCGTTTACAAATCCCACAGTTAAAAATAGACAACACAACAGAATGTGTTATCAGAAACCTCATAGCCCTTGAGCAATGTCACTATGCAGATCATCCTTACATCTGCAACTATGTCTCTTTCATTGACTCTCTCATTCACACCAAAGAAGATGTTGAATTGCTGGTTGAGAAGGAAGTTATTGTCCATGACCTTGGGAGCGACAAGGAAGTAGCAACTTTGGTGAATAGTCTCTGCAAACATGTTGTGACAGATAAGACATGTTATAAAGACCTTATAAATGATCTGGATAGACATTACCAGAAGGTTTGGAATCATACAATGGCTTCACTGAGGTTGGTGTACTTTCGAGATCCTTGGAGAGCAAGTTCAACTGTGGTTGGAATTGTTGTCCTCGTATTCGCAATTTTCAACTTTTGTCGAGTTTATAATTCTGTAATTTTACATCACGGGTCTCCGCCATTTTGGTTTTGAATTGGATTTTTTTTTTTTTGTAATGGTTGTCCTATGATATAGCATTGTTAATTCATTAGTTGGTTATTTACTCGTTAAAATTGAACGGTGAAATGTATCGAAGACGTGATGTAGATTCATAATTACTAAAGTTATTTATCAATATATATGCGCGCTTTTGTGTGCGTATAAACAAAGCATTGTGGCAAAAACAGATGCATGGTGTTACTTTATTTCAGTTATATTAATTTTATTGTTGAGTTGGAATCTGTCCTTGATTTTAGAGCGCAAAATCATCATAGTGAGAATGGAACAGTAAATAAAACCATATATTTTGTTTCAAAATCATCCCTTTGGATGTTGAATAACTCGCAATTTAGAGAGTTATAAAGCAAGTAACAGTGACTGAATAAAGAATTGCATTGCCACCAAATGAAAAGTGTACAGGAGGCGTATATATACTGTGCAAGTTGAGTACTGTCACGTGATACAAGCGCTGGAACATATAATAGACGTAGCCCTAGAGACAATTCTAGAATAATGATTACATGGTGGGCTGAACAGACCATTTAGGTTCGTTGTGGAGAAGGTCATAGATGTAATTGCGCTGAGATCATGTTTTTAATGTCAACTTACAAAAGCCTTGTGGTTTGCATATCCTATTATTCCACCCTCTGGTTTTGAATATACTGGACTTATTTTTTGGTTCCTGAGTTTCTGACCTTTTCAAAAATAATGAGCTTCAACTAATTAAAAAAAAATCATCATTTTCCTAAATCAGATTTGGAGGAAAAGGAACTTAATTATTCATCCAGAAAAATCTCTCAATATTTATAATTTTATACATGAATATAATGGTTTTGTTCTATTTTGGATTTATTTTTGTCAATGGAATCCAATGATCTCTCCCCCGGTGCAACATAGAGATTCCTAGTCAGAAATTTATGAATATGATAGTTAGAGTATTTGGATTCACAAAGTAAAAAAAAATGATAGAATTTGAAGAAGCAATAGAATATATAAAAACAAAATCAAATGTATATAATCTCATATGATCAGTCCTATATCAGTTCTTAGGAATAGAGATAAAATATAGAAGCATCCCAGAATCCATCACTTGATTTGATATTTCATTAGGAACGGGTGTATTTTCTAAATTTGTTAGCGGAGAGAATTTTTGGATTTTTCAATAAGGGAGATTGTAAAATGTTCCGCCTTACTAGCCAATCTAGTGATCATGACCCATATTTATAGACTTAATTTTGTGATATTTATGATTTGGCCTCTCAACAAATTACAAATGTCTCCTTGATCTCTGCACATTAATTATAGCACAATTGTGCCCCTAAGCCTTAAAATTTTAATTTAAATAAATCACATTAATAAGGCTTAATTAAATAATGGCTATACATTTTTATTATTTACATGTGTGGTCTCATATGTTGAATTTTATTTCCAGCAAAAAATGGAAGGACTTTATTTTGTTGGGTTCTAATCCAATATGGTTCAGACATGTTCTAATTAAATATAACGGAAGAAATCTTGTCTAATTCGCTCCTCGGATTTTTATCTTGACTGCTTCAGGAAGGCTATATTGTGTATACTTTATTTCAAATTAGATTATGACATTACGAACAAAGCTCTACAATTGATTTGTATTTGAAGGATAATGATCATCAAATTAGGCTCTGTTCTCAACAAGCACTAACATTTTCCAAATCTTTTAAACTTCAAATGACTTCGTGTCCATTTAGTTTTTAATTTTCTATTAACCAAAAGTTAGTTTACTAAAAGTTTGTTTGAGAAAAGTCAATTTAATAAAGGTTAATTATTGTAACAAAATTTATGTTTAGATAATTTTTTTCAAAAGTTGATTTAGCAAACTAAAAGTTTTTTGAATTATATAAAATAAAAAAATGCTTTTAAATATACAATTATAAAAAATGACATTGATTTTTATGATTTGTAATTTTTGTTAAACAAATGTTTCATATTAGAAATATTTGAAAAATATGGGAGAAAATTTTAATTAACATTAAATACACTAAGAATAGAAAATTAAAAAGTTTAATAGGTTTTAATATAATATAAGAAAGAGGCTGACAAAATTCTTATATTATAAAAAACGGAAGTGGCAGACGAATTGATGCACGGGAAGAGAGGGAAAATGGTCAAATGAGGGTAGTATGGTAATATAAATACTATATACATATACATTTCAAAAGCTTTCCAAAGTCACATTGAGCAAATCTACTTTCTCCCACTTGTTGTTTCATTTAAAAAAAAGAAAAAAATTCATGTAAGGCCCTTTGACCACACTTAATAACAAAGAAGGCCCCTTAAACTTTGAAAATTCACTTTAGACCAAGGGTATTGAAGTAAAATTAAAATTCATAGTAAAATTACTTTATTGTTCCTCATCTGCCCTAATTTTCTATTGAAGTTCTTTATTTTCTTATATGAAATTGTTCATTAATTTATAGAAAGTTATTCATTTCCTTATATAAAGTTGTTCAATAATGGCATAAACAATTCCTGTAGATTAATGAACAACTTGATATAAGAAAATGAATAATTCATTTTACCATTATTATATTATACTTGGAATAAAATTAAGATTTAGTAATAACACAAACAACTCTTGTAGGTTAATAAACAACTTCATGTAAGTCAATGAACAACTTCGAGAATGAACAATTCATTTTATCATAATTAAAACATTTGGAATAAAATCAAAATTCAATAATGGGACAAACAATTTCTATAAATTAGTAAACAACTTCAGTAGAGAATTAGAGAAAATGAGGGACAATAAGGTAATTTTATTTTGTATTTTAATTTCACTTCAGTACCCGTAGTCTTAATTGACTTTTTAGAGTTTAAGGAGCCTTCATTTTCATTAAATGTGATTGAGGAGTCTTAAATAAAATTTATCTCCTAAAAAAAAATATTACCCAAACAACTTTTGTCTTCTAGAAAGTACTTTTACCCAAACAGTATTTATTTTACTTTCATTTTTTTGCCATGGATTGCAAATTTGGTATTGCACTTTAATTTTTTTCAATAAATAAAATATTTAATATTTTTTCTCCTTAAAAAAAATTACTCCCCTCTTTATTTCTTTTTAATTTAAAAACTGCACGAGTTATGGCATAATGTGTCTTAAGTACATGTTGAATATTAAGCTATCAATATCAATATATATTGATTATAAATCAATAGAAAATTGCGCTATTCACAATATCGTTCACTAGACTTGATGGGGGCATATCAAAGAATATATTTAATAAGTTTAAATTCAATGTAATTGTTTGGGTCCAAGATGTCTACACACAAATAAAGCCTAAAATAACAGGAAACGAAGAGTTAGGCCCAATGTGTTGTCAAATGAAGTAGAGCTCGGTTCACCTAAAGGACTGTTATCTAGACATGGAACAGTTCCTTGTACATGTAACATCAGCCATGACATTACCAAATATATAAAACACCAAACATGGAACACTGCTATGATAACTTGAATTAATCAAATCCCCTAAAAATGGTTATCATAATACAATGGTTATAAAAAGGTTAAGAAGTTGGGATTCTCAAAAAACCCTTTTTAAAAGTTTGTTTGACCTCAAACTATAATTTAAAATGAATTAAATGACAATGAAAGCAAGAGAATTATCCCATAAAAGTAATAAGAAATTTGAAATGTTCTTTTAGAAATGGCATAGCGCATCACGGTGCAATTTTCTATCAGTCGTTGTGGACTGCACAGAGGGAAAGATCCCTCTTTGTGCCTAGCACTGCGGCACAATGGTCAATGCAAAGTGGCATGCACATTCTGTCATGATAGCTAACTGTTATCATGACAACACTTCAAGCCAATTTTTGGAGCGTGCCATTTCGTCATTCGATGTTCGATTTGATCGATTCAAGTGTCCACATGTAGCTCTTAAAGCCACCTAGCTATTGGCACTAATCTCACACCTAAATATTAGACCAAATGAAATTTGGAAACCTATAACCCAAATTAGCACATTTTTATTCCAGAACAACAACCAAGGTGTCCAAGCTCCCAAACCAAATGTCAATAACTGTGGAACCACTTGACTCAATTCAAATGGACCACAAACAATTTATACATGCATTCAAACCACAATAACAACATTCCAGACAAGATTTAGCCACTAAAACCCCATATTTACCATAAGGAGTAAAACATACAATCATCTTGTAAATGGTTAAACAAACATCGTACTAACACAATACTAACACTTGCACTAGTATCTCAACTTCTCATAGCCATTACAACACAAATAAAACATTTAAGGCTGAGATACCCTATAGTACAATCGAATTTATGCAAATGCATACAAAAAGACATACATTTTTCTTAAGTTGGCATACGATACATAATTCATTACAAAACTGAGTTAAGGAGGAGGGCATACACAAATACTAGCTAATTCCCTCAATGCTCGATTTTACCTCCTTGGCTTTATCAAAGCCTTTATGAGTAAAATATAACCATAGGGTGAGTTGAAGACTCAATAACTAAATAATCTAATCAAACTACTTATGTGTGAGAATAGATAGTACATATATAAAGTGGCATCATAAACATATATCAAGTCATTTATCTACACATATACATACAATATGATATGCATAATCTATATACCACATTATACCCTCCTTATATCTTTCGACTGAGTTTATGGGCTGAGAACTCGATAGGACCAAGTCTATGTGATTGGACTGGCCCAAGCTCACTATTATAAGAGGCAGCCCCGACCAAGAGCATCTTCACCCACTATGGACCACAGACTCCCCTTGTCCATGAATACTAGTGGTGTCGATGCCCAATCTACCTTTCGTAGTATTGAAACTTCTAAACAATGTAATATAGAGCACCAGGGCCTCCACGATGCTAGTGTACCATATAGATTTCCAAACAATGTCCCTACCAACACACTCGAGTAAACTCCCACCCACTCATAATGATCATGCCAAACATATACTCAATGGTCCAAAACATAGTCATAAACATATAGATTTCACAAAATGCTCATTTCTACTTGAACCATAGAGTTTCAGAAATAATTATACTTAAAATATCATTTGGCCTTACAAAACTACAACACTAAAACATAAGTTTCTGTTTCACTTCACATAGTTTCTCAATCATAAATATTTCATTTTAATATTATATT